TCTCCTCCTGCTGCTGCTGCCGGCCCCAACGGCCTCCCAGCTGCGATACTCGGTGCCGGAGGAGCAGGCACCCGGCGCGCTCGTGGGCAACGTGGCTAGCGCGCTGGGGCTCGAGCTGCGGCGCTTGGGGCCAGGCTGCCTGCGCATCAACCATCTGGGTGCGCCCAGCCCGCGCTACCTAGAGCTGGACCTCACAAGTGGAGCGCTCTTCGTCAACGAGCGCATTGATCGGGAGGCGCTGTGTGAGCAGCGGCCTCGCTGCCTGCTCAGCTTGGAAGTGCTGGCGCACAATCCCGTGGCGGTGAGCGCCGTTGAGGTGGAGGTACTGGACATCAACGACAACTCACCGCGCTTTCCGCGGCCCGACTACCAGCTTCAGGTAAGCGAGTCGGTGGCGCCTGGAGCGCGCTTTCACATAGAGAGCGCGCAGGACCCTGACGTGGGCGCCAACTCGGTGCAGACTTACGAGCTCAGCCCGAGCGAGCACTTCGAGCTGGACCTTAAACCTCTGCAGGAGAACAGTAAGGTGCTGGAGCTGGTGCTGCGTAAGGGTCTAGACCGCGAGCAGGCAGCCTTGCACCACCTGGTTCTCACAGCCGTGGATGGGGGCAACCCAGCCCGCTCGGGTACGGCACAGATCTCTGTGCATGTCCTGGACACTAACGACAACTCTCCCACCTTCGACCAGTCCGCTTATCGCGTCCAGTTGCGGGAGGACGCGCCCCCAGGCACTTTGGTGGTGAAGTTGAATGCCTCAGATCCAGATGAGGGTTCCAATGGTGAGCTCAGGTACTCCTTGAGCAGCTACACGTCGGACCGGGAGAGGCAGCTCTTCAGCATAGATGCCAGTACAGGGGAAGTGCGAGTAAGTGGGGCTCTGGATTATGAGGAGGCCTCCTCCTACCAGATCTATGTGCAGGCGACTGACCAGGGTCCAGTACCCATGGCTGGTCACTGCAAGGTACTGGTGGACATTGTGGACGTGAATGACAATGCACCAGAAGTGGTGGTCACAGACCTGTATAGCCCAGTGGCTGAGGATGCTGCACCCAACACCGTTGTGGCCCTTCTCAGTGTCAATGACCAAGACTCAGGCCCCAACCGGAAAGTGAGCCTGGGCCTGGAGGCCACACTGCCTTTCCGACTGAATGGCTTTGGAAACTCCTATACACTGGTGGTTAGTGGCCCCCTGGACCGGGAGCGGGTAGCTGCCTACAACATCACAGTGACAGCAACTGATGGGGGAATACCACAGCTCACATCCCAGCGGACGCTGCAGGTTGAGATCTCTGACATCAATGACAATCCACCAAGCTTCCTGAAGGACTCCTATTCCATCTACATCCAGGAGAACAATTTGCCAGGGGTGTTGCTCTGCACTGTGCCAGCCACAGACCCAGATGAAAAGGAGAATGCAGAGGTGACCTACTCCCTCCTGGAGAGGGAGATTCAAGGGCTGCCAGTCACCTCCTATGTCTCCATTAACAGTGCCAGTGGCAGCCTGTATGCTGTCAACTCCTTTGACTATGAGAAGTTTCGAGAGTTCTTTGTGACTGTGGAGGCCCAAGACAAGGGGAGCCCACCACTGAGCAGCACTGTGACCGTCAACGTGTATGTGGTGGACATGAATGACCATGCCCCTCACATTCTGTACCCTACCTCAACCAATTCATCAGCAGCCATTGAAATGGTGCCTCGAACTGCCCCTGCTGGCTACCTGGTCACCAAAGTCATAGCCATGGACTCAGACTCTGGGCAAAATGCTTGGCTCTTTTACCATCTAGCCCAGACTTCTGACCTGGACCTCTTTAAAGTAGAGCTGCACACAGGAGAAATTAGGACTACCAGGAAGATGGGAGATGACAGTGGTACCACTTTCAACCTGACAGTGGTGGTCCGAGACAATGGAGAACCATCACTATCAGCCTCTGTGGCCATTACAGTAGCTGTGGTGGATAGGGTTTCCAAAATCCTCCCTGACACTCAGAGACATGTTAAGAGTCCTCGGACATACTCTGAAATTACACTTTATCTAATAATAGCATTAAGCACAGTGTCTTTTATATTTCTTTTGACAATCATTGTTTTGAGTATCATCAAGTGCTACCGCTACACTGCATATGGCACTGCATGCTGTGGAGGCTTCTGTGGAGTAAGGGAGAGGTGCCCTGCAGAACTGTACAAACAGGCCAACAACAATATTGATGCCAGGATACCACATGGCCTCAAAGTGCAGCCTCACTTCATTGAAGTTCGAGGAAATGGCTCCCTTACCAAGACCTACTGCTACAAGGCCTGTTTGACAGCAGGCTCGGGGAGTGACACTTTCATGTTTTACAACACAGGGGCCCAGGCAGGACCAGGTCCTGGGGGAGCCCAAGCAGCAGTGACTGACAGCAGGCACCTCACAGGCCAAAGTGGGCAGAGTGCTGGGAACCTGATTATTCTAAAAAATCAGGCTGTTTCTCAAAATGAGGTGAGATAATGGTCAGGGAGTCTTCTACAAACTCATGCGTTTTTCACACACACCCCAATATCATGTGGTTGGATGTTTTGAGTTATTGATAGTGATAGCGGTTATTTGGTAAACTGAGTGTCTGCAATATGAGTATAATCTGCCATGTTTCCTCTCTAGAAAAGAAGCACTAGAGATTTGTTTTACTTTCCATTCTCTTTTTTGATACTTGAGGACTTGTCTATAAAATTGTTTGAGAAGTGAGAATTAGTCTTAAAATTTTGCTGTTAAAGCAGAGCTCTGTAGAGAAATAGAACAGGCCTGGGAATAAGGATTATGTTTTAGGGAGTAATATTAAGAGAGTCAAGGAGAAATGGCCTCTGTTGTATCGCCTACAGGGAAAGTTTTCTTTTGAAATCCTATAGGAGTGTTATTTTTAGAAAAGCTCTGAGACCTTTAGGGGCTGTTGTGGACACCTCTAAATGTTGTCCATGTTTATACTTTGGACTGTCTGTAGTGCAAATTATCCAGTTATTATTTCCAGTAATTGTGCTGAACTAATGTGATAGGATCCATGAAAATTCATGTCAGTGGTGAAGCCATAGAATGTAGACCTCATCCTGAAGCCAAAGTTTGCTTTGTTTGTATGATGTGGTAACTCTTCTGTAGGGTCACTTTTGGAAAGTCAGAGGAAATGAATGATGGTAAGGCAGAGAGATTAAGAGCCAATTTGTCTGGTTGGGCCAGAGAGATATTAGAATGAGTGTATTAGGAATATGAGGGAGTGAAGACTAGGACATTCTGGGATTAGGGAGGAATGGAAGGAAAAAAGAACTCTTCCTTTAGTATGCCACCTTTCTTGGCATACTCTGAATTCATCATAAGAGGATTTCCTTGCATTTACTCAAATGCAGTCTGTAATCTTTTGATTTCCTGTTGACAGTTCCTATGGTTTTGATGAGATGCAAAGTAGCCTTTCCAAGTCCTTCATACCTTTTAGTTAAATGACAATACTTACAAAGCACACATGCATTTTCTGGATCTAAGATATGGTTTGCAATAGCTACAAAAGGCTTGAAAAGTGAAAGGCTCACTGTACATGAAGACAAATGTTAGTATATGCACTAGTTTTAGTTTTAAGGAGGTATAAGGCCAGCTTGTTCATTATTATGAAGAATGTAGGTAAATCATTGGAAAGTACCTGAGTGGATGGGTGTGTTTGTGTAGTGTGTTTGTCTCCATATGCATGCTTGAAATAATAGAGATCTGCTTTGTGGTACTTTAAACTTAGATTTCAAAAGCCAAAATTTTGTCCCATACATGGTGATAAATTATCTTTCCAAACATCTACGTTATAGCTAGGACTTTTAGAGCTACTACAAAATGAATTAATATTTGTCTCTCCTATATTTTGTGATGGATTTTCATTGACATATTGCTTTTTATTAATGTCCTTATTATCACATTCCATGTTCATGATAATCCTGAGGAAAGTAATATGTAAGCATAGAATTTCCAATTCTTGATTGGGAGTAGATTTTCTCATGGACATTGAAGATAGATTTATTCATTTATCAGAAGAGCCCAATGTTAACCAATGCTGAGTACCACAGGAAGCACATTGCAGATTAAGAAAAATGGGGGATGTGTGGGGGGTTAGGAATCAAAGACTTTCCAGAATTCTTTAGATCATAGCTTTTGGAAACATATTAAAGGATTTAGTATTAAATAAGGATGCTTAACATTTGCCTACCAAATTCCTGTGAAGCCCTCTGGGATTGGGGTGGGCTGCAGGTGGTGACGAGGCAGGAAGAGCAAGCCAGGTAAGTAAGGCTCAGCTTTGCCACTAGCTATGAGCCGGAAGCTCAGAGGAATGGCAATCTTACCCTCCCTCTCTTGACTCAAAGCTTGAGCAATTTGATACATGAACTATTTCTGTCTTACACTAACCTGTGTGTTGATATGTACTTTGGTACACAAACCTTTAATCTAGGGAGAAAATTATATCAGATAGAACTTGCTCCTGTGGGATTTTGCCAGGAGAGTGCATGATTTTAATAAAGGTAGATTTCTGCCAGAAATTAGTGAAGAGCCACAAGATATACAGCTCCTGAAATTATTCAGTTATATAGAGAGAGTGAGTCACATTTTTGTAACATGGCAAAATGGGAACAAAAGTCACTCAGTTCTGAAATTCATCATTGCTAGATCAACCTGTTAAATTCCTATGTTGGGCTTTTTCTTTTCCCTGCCTAGTTATTGCAGACAGCAGGAGAATCCAGGGATGCAATTAATGCCATGTGTCTACATTAATATTAAATGGGGATTGGAAAGGAAGAGTAAGGAAATTTGTACTCACTGATCATCCTGCTATATAAAAGTGTTCTGCTTTGCAATATATATGTGTACATGTGTATATTTATATGCTTATATACACAAGTATATATATATATATATGTATATGATTTTACTACCTATAAGACATACATTAAACAAACATTTATTAACATCTAGAATATGAGGATATAAGCTCAGAGAAGTTAGGTAACATACACAGTCACACTGCTAGTCGTCTTTTAAGTCATGTCTGTCTGACTCCAAAGACTGTGCTGTTTTCAATAGTATGTGTAGACAGAAATCCCAGGTTTTGTACTCTGATATGGGATATTCAGGGATTTAGGTTACCACTAGTTTACCTAGTAATGTAAATTAACTGGTTTTGGGAAAAGAGTAATTCCTTGCATAGAAGCAGGTAACAAATGGTAGGATCGGTGAGTAAAAATATTACTACCAGGCTAATATATTTTTATTTGTTTATTTGCTTTACTATTGGCAAAGCCTATTAAGATCTTTCATCTCTATTCTTTCACTGATTTTTTTCTTTTTGCTTATTAAACATCAGCATTTAATATCAGATTCTAATCTCTTGGTGAATTTTACCCCTAGTGAGCTCATTTTATGAGTCACTTGTACAGTGAGGTTTTTGAAGTAAATATTTGGCAATGGGGCAAAATTGCTCTGTGGAGATTTCTGAAAACATGGTACAGAATGTGGCTGCATCCTCTTCAGAGTCTTCAAAGAAACCAAATCTTAAGGAAGATTCTGTGCATTTGTGGTCCTGGTGCTGTGATGGCTAATGAGTCACTTTGAGTACTATGGGCAGATTTATCTAACTGTGCCTCAGTGGGACCAGTTGGCACAACATGTGGAAATTATAAGAGTAGCAGAGATGAATTAAGTTTGCATTTACTTTCACTTATTTTAAGGCAATTTGTAGCCACCAAATCTTCAGTTATTTCTGCCACTGTGTGTGCATATTCACCCTAATTCCAGATGTAGTGGCCTGAGAGGATTAACCCTTCTTTCAGTGCCACCTAATTAATTTCCCCTAGGACTGGCTTTTCTATCTGGTGACTCTGTCATGGAACAGAGTTTACACTCATTGTAAAGTGACAAGGTGGTAAATTTATAAAAATTGCATAATGGTCAGAATAGACAAAGAAATTGTATCTATGAACTTTCATTCTGGTGTTTCATCCTCTGATGTTCACTTTTTAGTGGGTGGGGCTTCTTTGTTTTGCCATTTTCATCTTGATTATAGGACTATTCTGAGAAAAGGTTTATTTTCTTTGGTCTGATGATATAATAATTTCTTCAAATTACCTCCTTCCTCGCTTTTTCTACAGACTGTTAGCCAAATAAAATTATGGCCGAGCTCTTCTCTGTGTCTTTATCTTGTACATATTCTGATTGATGAAGAAATCTATTTATTGTATCCTGAATGTCATTGGGCTACCTTTTCCTCTGACCCAGGAGTGAGCTGTCACATGGGCATCTGGTCTAACTCAGAGCACTCAGCAAGGACACAGCCTGGCATATCATACATTGTCTACTGGCATGCTGTCTGCTTGACAGAATAGTAGAGTCAGTTCTGGATACTTGCCTTGGTTGGCTACCAATTTTTGCTCTCAGTAAGAGGTCAGAATGATGTCAGTTTGCAAACGTTTGAGGAAAAATTGCTGTCACCCACCCCTGAGGTTTAGCTGAATTTGTGGAGTTTTACAGATGGCTTTGAATATGACTTTATTGGACTTCACGTGGCTCCATGTTCCCGTGCATATTATAACATGAATATAAACTTAGCTTATTCATATGATAATATTTTGAGCAGTATAATCTATCATTATAATTCCTAAAAGCAAAGGTCGAAAGGATTTCTTAGCAGTGTTTTAAATCTGCTAACCTAAATATTATACAAGGTTTTTTTCCCCAAGAATTTGAATTTGAAAATGCTAAGAAATAGATCTGATATTGCAAAGGTGAAGAGAAATGCTGGTTTGTTGGCACATAAACACCATCAGTTCCTTTCTGGACTTGCGGGGTCAGAACTCTGGGCTCCAGAGAGGTGCAACTGTGAGTGAGAGAGTAACTGCTGTGCTAGCAGGTTGTGCTTCTGGAATTAAGCGGACCTAGCACTTTCTGTTGTACTACATACAACTCATTAGGTATGTTCTAACATTATGTTTATTTTACTTTCCTGCCCTGTGGATTAGGGTTGTAAATGCCTGTTTTCAGAGTTTTTTCTTTCTAATTCTACCCAAAATTCTCAAATTCGTCATTTTTTTTTCACTTTGATTTACTAGAAAACCAATATGTAACATCATTATTTAGAATGTTATATTCCGTTTTGCCTTAATGACCAACAATCTATGTATTCCTTTCCTATTGTTTTGTAACAAATTACTACGAATTAGTGTTTAAAAACACCACCCGTTTATTATCTCACAGTCCTGCACACCATGTGGCTGAGTTCTCTGCTCAGATTTTCACAAGGCTGAAATGTACCCATTGGCTGTGCTGAATTCTCTTTTGGAGGCTCTGGGGAAAAATTCACTTTCAAGCTCATTCAGATTGTTGGCAGAATTCAGTTCCTTGGGGACTGTAGTTCCTATTTTTGACTTAGTGTTTGCTGGGGGTCACTATCAACTCCCAGAAGTTGCTCTCAGGTCTTGTCCCATGGCCTGCTCCATCTTCAGGGGTGGCAATGGAGAATCTTCTCTCACGTGGAATCCCTCTTATGCTTCAAATCTCTAACTTCTGTC